TGACTTCTGGTGTTAACCATGGTGGTAAATGCAGACTACTTGGTTGGGGTCCACGTGACTATCGTAAACAATAGTTGGAGTCTGTGGGTGATTGGCTCAGAATCCATCACAATGGTGTAGGTGTATACAATGTCTATCTCCCTTTAAACTATGAGATTAAAATTGCTTCTTATGTTTCTTTCTACTAACTAATTCCTTCTTCCTGTATTATATCCTTATATGCAATCTTTCTTTTATATACTACCACCACCACCACTGAGTTAACTACTATTATGAATCCGGTGTTCATGTTGTTGTTCTTATGAGGTATGGCAACTTGAACAGATGTATACATGTGCCTCGTCCTTCGTTGTAGCTGAGTGACTGATATAAATAATTCGTCTTAGACATCTAAATAACATTTTAAGTATGGGAGATTTGTGGAGATTGTAGTATTCTAACACTTAAATTCACGAGTCACCTTAAGCTAGACAGTGATTGAAAACCTAGAAACTGTCATCTAGTATCTTCAGGTTTTCAACAATGATCTACCTTAGATCAACTTATGAATTCAACTGTTAAATAGCATTTCAGCAAACTGATTGACTAACTGACTGGTTAACTAATTTTAAATTATCACTTACACAATTCTATTAATAATATTAACATAGATGAATTTCTATAAGTGATTTCTATTTCTATTTCGACAGTTACATAAATTTTAAAAGATTTTTTTTTGTTCTATGAAACTTATAAGTAATATATGATATTACCATTTAAAGATTATTTTACAGAATTTAGAAAATATTTGTATGACGACTAATAAACAAAAAAAAGAAAAAAAAGAGAGAAAAACATTTTTAAATAAAAAAAAGAAAAAATAATAATGATATATTGTCTTTTGTTTTATATCATAATAATACATGTAACCAATAACAACGAAAACAGAAAAAACAAAAAAATTTTTCTCGGTATAATGACATTTCTGAAATTGAAATCAATAACCCTTCAAATGAAAAATAATATCCGAAGGGGTTTATGGAGATTTTTATAAATTTCACTGGTTGAAATCATGAGTCAGTTGAAGCTAGACCACCGTGGAAAACCTGGAAGCACTGGACGGCTGTTTCTTCCCAGTATGGGACTCCTCAGCAGTGCGCATCCACGATCCCGCACCACGCACCACCAGGTTTTTCATGGTGGTCTAGCTTCAACTGACTCATGATTTCAATCTGTGAAATTTCTAAAAATCTCCACAAACTTCTGATAATAATTAACTTCTCATTAGTGACTGACTTCAGGAAAAACTCCTGGAGTTCTAGTGAGAAGCCGTTACCAGTGGAGTTCAACCAGGTCTGTTGAGAGATAACAAATCACTGAAGACAATGGTGTACGGTGGCGCAACTTCGTGGATTGGTTGAAGTTAGACATTAACACCATTGGATGCCGGCTCAGTTATCTAGTGGTTAAGTGCTCGCGCGCGGAGCTAGTAGATCCTGGGTTCGAGCCCCGCGTGGTGCGGAACCGTGGATGCGCACTGCTGAGGAGTCCCTCAATAGGACGAAACAGCCGTTCGGTGCTTCCAATTTTTCCATGATGGTCTAAATTCAATTGACTCATGATTTCAATCTGTGAAAAATAATATTTTCATTTATTCAATTTCTTCTTCTTTTTGTCCATTTAAATTTTATTTTTTCTTTCTTTTCTTCTTTTTAATTATGTTTTATCTATCAATAAGGTATTTGTCTATTAGGATTTAGTTGCTAAGTGAATAGTGTGATAGGGGTTTGAAGTGAATGGTATTAGTTTCAAGTCTTAGAGTGAACATCAACTCTGAGATACAAGTATATTCAGTTGATGAGTCCCAAATAAGATGGAAAAGTATAGTGATGATAAGACAAAATCAACTTAAGTGACTCTTACGGTCTCCCATATTGTATGAGTATTCCATGTATCTAAATTAATAGTTGATCTGATTGTTAGAAAGAGCACCAGCCCCGTGAATTCTGAAGGAATTCGGCTTTCAACATGAGACGTCATAACTCTTCTTTGTGAAGACCTTCTAAATTCCAGGGCAGAGTTGGTATGATTTGAATTATTTTTTCTGGTTAGCGTTTTTTAGCGAGTTAGTTTTTTATGGGATGGGATCACTAACCACATGCTCAAATCTCCTTCTTTATCCGTGCTTGGGACCGGCAGTAGCCCCATAGGGGCTCCAGGTGGAGTTAATAAGACAAAAAAATTAATTTTACCATTAATCACTCTCTCATTTGTATACTATACTTATTAATTGTAAAAGCGAATAGTATTCCACGTAGCTATTCTGTGATTTTTAATGATTGTTAGCAGTATAATACAATATGACTGCTTACTCGTTTACGAGAATTCTTGAATTAATGAGGTAACATCTCAGTGTTAGAACTCAAATTTAATACCAAGTGATTATCTACAAGGTTATGAATCCCTGATAGCTTACTTACTTACTGACGCTTTCTACTCCCAGTGGAGCAGAGTCCACCAACCACTATTCGCCAACACACTCTGTCCTGGACCTTCCTTTCAAGTTCTGTCTAATTGCTGTTCATTCTTCTCATGCCGGTCTCCATTTCTTTTCGTGATGTGTTCTTTGGGTCCTCTTCTTTTCCTTTGGCATTGAGGATTCTATGTGAGGTCTTGCCTTATGACACAGTTGGATGCTTTCCTCAATTTGTGTCCTATCTACTTCCAGAAGCGCTGGAAGTGGTTAGATATGATAGATATATTTATTACTATTAGAGTTTGCATTCATTCGACAAAAGCAGATATTGTAATTTAGAACAACATATGTCAGGTTTTACTCTAAGATAGCCTGATGACGGATGCCATCAGCAATAGCCTTCTGTGGGAGAGAACAAACCAACTTCCAGCTGAAGGAGAAATTAGGAAAAGACGATGGAAATGGATAGGACATACATTACGCAAATCGTCAAACTGCATCACGAGGCAAGCCCTAACTTGGAATCCTGAAGGAAAGCGAAAAAGAGGAAGGCCAAAGAACACATTGCGTCGGACAATAGAAGTAGATATGAAAACGATGAATTACAACTGGACGGAGCTAGAAAGGATTGCCCAGGACAGGGTTGGATGGAGAATGCAGCCTATGCTCCTTTACGAGGAGTAACAGGCGTAAGTAAGTAAGTAAGCCTGATGACGATTTAATCCGAAACAATATTCTTTGCTTGTATATATTGTTCTAAAAGCAGATATCAACACAACTTTTAATGATTCATTATATATGTATAAGATCTTCAGTAACACATTATTACAGACAAAACATACATCACACAATAAATGAAGATAATGTACTAAATCTTTGAGGTTTCTTTTTTCGTTTGTTCAATGATTGAATGGATTATATCCTTTCCGTATTCAGTTTTTTTCATTTATTTAACTTTTATGTTTTATTCATGTTACATCATTAATAATATTTAAAACATTTGTTGTATCTAATCAATTGTCCGACATAGTCAATTGCTGACATTTAAGTAACTCATTAACTTTTGTCAGATCACTTATGTAACTATGAAAATCTTTTGCTTCTTGTTTCTTTTTTAAGATTCTGGCCAAATTTTAATGTAAATGAATGATCTATCATTTTAGATATTGATCCAAAGTGATCTGTCCAATCACACAGTAATTCACATGACAATCGAGTATTATGAAAGTTTGTAGCTACGTACTGCTTTAGTGATAAGTAAATTTTAAAAAAATAAGTGTATGTCTAACAGAATCGTTGATTTCAAACGCTAATGGGTTAATTCCTGACAAATTATTACTTTAAAACAATAGATGAGATCATGAGTCAATCATGGAAGCACTGGACGGCCATTTCGTCTTAGTGTGAGACTCCTCAGTAGTGCGCATCCACGATCCCGCCTCAAGAGATTTGAACCCAAGACCAATCATTGTTGCGTATGCATGCTTAACCTCTAGATCACTGAACCGGCCAGCATTCAAAGATGTTAATATCTAACTTCAACTAATCCACGAAATTGAACGACATATCCACCATTTATTCAGAAAAAAATAATTTATAGGGATTTTCAATAAGAAATGTGAAACAGTAAACAACCCATAGATATTTCATGCTTACTTATAACTGCTTAGTATAACATACCTATGATCAAGGTGATGATCTCGCACACACACACATACATACAACATTCATTCATCTTTTATAATTGGTAAAATTCATTTCTAGTATTTGGACATAATTCAATGGTTCATTAATCCAATTTCAGTCAATTCATTATATTAATTAATCAAGATTCATGTGTTGTCAATAGAGAAAATGTTTTACTCTGAACATGTGAACAAAAGCACTATTAAAAATATTGATTTACTGATGAAATAACAAAACAATTTATAATGTAAACTAATTTGACATGAAGGTGAAGAGAGTCAGCTTTTCCACTTCAAATGCTCTCAAATAGCCACGCATATACAGTCACTATCACGGAAGTCCTACTCAATAACATATCATGGTGAGGGTGCCGTTTATGAAATTGAGAGGATTAAATGAGAATGTATGACGCTTTAACTAGGTTGATGGATATAGAGGATTCATTTCGGGGGTTAGGGTTGGAAAACCATGATTTCAAACTGATAGTGCATATGGGCTTCAGGATCCTAAGGAAACAAATGATGTATGAACTTATTGTTGGTGATCAATTACCATAGTACTGCATCTTCCAACGTTTCTTCACTGTTTTGTAGACTAGACCTTCAGGTTAAAGGTTATGTGCACAGATCGAATGACGAAATGAGTGAACCTCATATATATTTGATGCCTCCTTTGTACCAATGTTTACATGCTTAAATACATAAAAATGATTCAAATGAGATATGTAGAATAGAATGAACCTTATTCATGTTATCATTGATGTTTATCAATGAAAAATATTGATTTTCTTTATTATGTTTATTTTATTAAAATGATTTTTTTTCTTTTTTTTCTTTTTTTTCTAATTTCAATGAAATAGCTTTCACCCAGATTCATATATTGCTAATAAACGAAAATATAAATCTAATTATAATGAAACATATCATAGATTAAATGATTTAATAAATTTACAACATAGTACTACAGAATACAATTTAAATACAGCCAGTACTACTACTACTACCACTACTACTACTACTACTAACAATAATATCAGTAGTATATCATGCCCTATAACTATGAATACAATCAATCCTATCAAATCATTAACACCGATTTCAATTAAAATTCAACAAAATAATAAACAATTAAATCAATATGAATTAGATCATTCAATAAGTGATATATGTTCAACAAATTCATCATTATCAGATCATACTACTAATGGTATGAATTATTCCTATCCAACTCATTCATTATCATTATCATTAAATAGAGATAAAAGAAAAGATCATCATACTAATATTACCACTACCAATAATAATCATAATAATGTATGTTATAAACATCGTACATTACCATTATTACCTAATTCAAATGAATATCAACACCACCATCACAACAACAAACACAACCATCACCACCACCACCAACACCAATATCCTTATATTCCATTAACATCATCTCAATTAATTACACCTAAAATAACATGGCGTATAAAAAATTCTAAAGAAAATTATTATAATAAAAAATTATTAAAATTAATTGAACAATTACCATATAATAAACAAAATTCAATTGGTTTAATATTATTAACAATGGATGTGAAATTATGTAATTCTATACATAATCCATCCGATATTAATCATAATAATAATAATAATAATAATAATAATAATAATAATAATGGTAATAGTAATAATAATAGTAATAGTCATAGTAACAGTAATAATACTGGTAATTATTCCGATATATTCTCTGGTGGTTTAGAATATCGTCTACGTGAAGCATTACAATTAGTGGAACCAAATAATAAATTAATGAATGAATTTGATTATTGTCATTATAAAACAATAAATGAATTAAATAAAATAGATTTAAATAAAATTATTGATGTTCGAAGTAGAAAGTAAGTGATGAATAATGTAATGTATGATATTTTTTTTATTTTCATTTGTTTCATTTGAAAGAAAGATAAAAGGGGTATCATAGGGGTTAGAGATAGTTAATTAATTATTTATTTTATTTGAACACATATATATTGGTACAAGGGGGGCATCAGAGATATATGCGCTACACAAAACAATGAGGATTTGAAGAGAAGAAAGAATTGAAAGGTGAGGAGCGTTAAAAAAAAAGAACAATAACGAACAGATTACTGCGAGGTAGTGTAACAGTAATAAAAATTATAATAATAGTAATAGGGGGGACGGAAAGGTAAAACCAGAAGGAATCTTTCAGTTAAGGGAGACACAACCACTTTTTATGAAGAAAGTAAAAGAAAGTTACAGCAGGATTGCCACTGGCTTCTATTCTGAGCCATATCTGATAACGTCTCTATCCACTGTGTTGCACCATCTCTAAGACCCCCCAGTCATGGAGTCGTGAAGGACCAACACAAGCCAGCCTTTTGTAGCTTTTTTTCATACCACGACACCATATCATGCACTGAACACCTCTCCGCTTTTTCCAACCAGTCCCAGAATCGTCGACTAATGCATGACGTGGAATTCTCTGGGACGACATTCGTAGAACATGTCCAAGCCACCGAAGTTGGTGTTTCAAAATGGTGACACCAATTGAGTTATCATCTCTGTGCCCGAACACACGATGCCGAACCTCTGCATTACTAATATGGTGTTGCCACTGGATGTCAGCAATCCTTTGGAGACAACGATGATCGGACACAGAAAGTTGTTTAACATCCTCAACTCGGAGAGGCTAGGTTTCACAAGCATAGAGTAGAACTGTTCTCACAAACTCGTTGTAGATCCGACCTCTTACAGCCAGACTAACATCACGAAGGCGCCAAAGGTGGCCCAGATTGGCATAAGCCGCTCTGGCTTTCACTATACGTGCATTGATCTCATCACTCACACCCCCACCAGCACTTATGCAGCTACCTAGATACATGAACTTCTCGACTACTTCTATCTGCTTACCATCCAGAGTGAGTACAGGATTAGAATCCTTCCAGTTTTGTAGAAGTACTTTGCACTTCGAAGGTGCAAAGCACATTCCATACCTACGGACACTGATTGCCAACTGATTAAGTGCGGATTGCATGCCTTGGGCATTATCGCACAGTAATACAATATCATCCGCATACTCAAGGTCGGGAAGTCTTTCTCGAGGCAACAGATCCACACCACCATTACTTACATCCATCAGTGCTCTTTCCAGAATGTCAATGGCAAAGTTGAAGAGGAATGCTGAGATTGGTCAACCTTGCCTAGCCCCACTGTTTGAATGGAACAATGGAGAGTGGTGGTTGTATGCCCTCACTCTGCCTGAGGTGTTTGTATATAAGGCCTTTAGGATGTTAATAAAATAGTTAATAAAAAACTATGTACCTAGGTTTTTATACTATTTGATACTCATCAACATGGTGTACCTGTAATTTTGAATGAAATGATATTGTCTGATGATATCGATCCCATGTTATCGATATTCATAGTCAATGGTAATGTCTTTGACTGTGAATTTGATTGACACTGGATTGAATTGTCAGGATCCTTCACAGGTGAATTTAAGGAAGCTCTAAGAAGCTCAAAAAAGCTGAAGATATCTCATCTAGTCACTTTTTTGGAAGAATATTGCAGAATCTCTACGTGTAGCTTTCCTATTGGATTGGATAATTTTATAATGATGATTTTTTTATTAAAAACTATAAATACCTGACAGTTTTGTATCATAATTGAGATTGTTTGGAATAACATTCCTTTCACTTGTCTTCTGTCTTTTTATTAGCGTCGAGTGCTCAAGTTATACACGGCATAGTAAAGATCTAAAATCTAAATATATAACATGAATTCGTCAGACAGCATCATTTCCTTAAAGATTATAGGTACACATTAATGACGTGTGCTAAGTAGCACGAAACCTAGGTCTAAGGTTTCCTGTTGACTACGTCCGACCACCATCTTATCTCAACATACTGCACGTAATGTCGGCTCATCTAAACTGGTAGCCACATTGCAACTTGGTCGATAGCATTCGATCTTTACTAAGTAGGACCTAATATACATGATACTGGTCACCATTCAGTGATTATTCAATTGTAAAGATAGAGAATGGCTAGTAGTGGAATTCAGGACACGCGTTTCCTTCTATTTAGGATGTCGGCTGGCTCAATGGTCAAGAGGTTAAGTGTTTTTAGCGGCCCGTTTGATCTGACTCCATTTATATTGTATGTGTGTTTGTTAGCGCCTTTTCTCGTATATCATCGTCGACTTAAATCGCGTTATCCAATAACGGAATTAAATAAGTCGATTAACGAGAATGGCCTTTGAATACATATATTTTGTATGTAAAGTGAATGTAATACAACAGAGCAAAATGACAAGCAGGGAGGATGGCTGGGAAGCCAACTCCATTTTAGTCAAGCGTTACTCAATATTTATAGTCAAACAAAATAAAGCTACAGACATGTGATTAATAGGATAAGAAGGGCACACACATATACACTCATATAAAAACAGTCTAGATTGATAAACGAATAAATAACAAGGTCAAAGTATGGCTCGAGTAGAATGAATAAAATGGGATGTCCGGAAGCTAGAATAAGGTATATGGGCTTGGCATAATAACTGACACTACATGTTCAAGTGCGAGACCGATAGATTCTGGGTTTGAATCTCCTGAGGCATTATCATGGATGCACACTACTGAGGATTCTCACACTAGGACAAAACGGCTGTCCAGTGCTTTTAGGTTTTCAATGATAATCTAGCTTCAATGAACTTACGAATTCAACTGATAAAATAATTATCAGAAGGGGTTTTGTGGAGATTTTGGAAATTTCACTGGTTGAAATCACGAGTCAATTGAAGCTAGATCACCATGGAAAACCTGGAAGCACTGGACGGCCGTTTCGTCCTAGTGTGGGACTCCTCAGCAGTGTGCGTCCATTGTGGTCTAGCTCCAGCTGACTCATCATTTCAATCAGTGAAATTTCTAAAATCTCTACAAAACCCCTTCTGATAATAATCATCTTCTCACTGTTGACTGACTTCAAGAGACATTTCCCGAAGTTCTAGTGAGAAGTCGTTACCAGTGGAGTTCAACCAGGTCTGTTGTGAGATATCAACTCACTGAAGATAATGTTATAAGGTGGCGTAACTTCGTGGATTGGTTGAAGTTAGACATTAACACCGTTGAATGCCGGCTCAGTAGTCTAGTTGTTTAAGCGCCTGGTGCGAGACCGGTAGGTCCCGGGTTCTAGTCTCGCGAGGGGCGGAATCGTGGATGCGCACTGCTGAGGATCCCCATACTAGGACGAAACAGTCATCCAATGCTTTCAAGTTCTCCATGGTGGTCTAGCTTCAATTGACTCATGATTTCAACCAATATTAAAGTAATTAACTGTAAATTCATCAATTTCCATCTTTATTTCCTCATTGATTTAAAATGTTTTGTTTTCTTAAATATTGTTTTACAACATGAAAATATTATTTATTTTTTCCCGTTTTTTTTCTCTAAATGATAAAACTACATTGACTTTGTAATGTATTTTCATGTCAACAATAATGTCTTGAATGATTGAAATCATCATACATTTCCATCACATATATACATGATGTACTTTAATAATACTTACCCTTCTAAACAGTTTGCATTATTTCTTTGTAATAGATTAAATGTGAAACCCATCAACAACAACAACGACAACAAAAGTACAATATGAAGTGTACAAATGAATTATGTCATTAAAATTGAAGTGTATACACAACTTCTGTTCATAAATATGCATATCTTCTTTTCTTTTTCTTTCTTTTTTTTCAAAAAAAGAAAAAAACTTCAGTGACACATTTGAAATAAATAAAACAGACATATATGAAAGTTAGTCAAGAAATTAGTTTCAATAGTTGAAATCATGAATCATTTGAAACCTGGAAGCACTGAACGGCTGTTTCGTCCTAGTATGGGATTCGTCAGAAGTGGGCATTTATGATTCCATACGAGAACGAAACGACCGTTCAGTGCTCTTAGGTTTTCCATGGTGGTCTAGATTTAATTGACTCATGATCCAAATTATTTAAATTTCTAAAATCTCCACAAAACCCCTTGTGATAAGAAACTAGTTGTATAAATTTTTTTGTATATCAATCAGAGAAACTTGTTGAATATAGACAATATTACTAAACGTCGAACACAATGATCCATCCATATAAGTAGTATATAACGATAGTTAAGAATACAATGTATTTCAGTAGAAGATTAAGGAGGAAACAATAGGAACAGAAAGCAACTGGTATGAAAATGAATGAACAATGAAATCTGAGACGATGGACTGAGATTTGCAAAAGGAAACAGTCAAGTTTGAGACAATTGATTGATATTTTGTAAATGAAGTACTTACTATGTGGTTCTCAGATTGTATTAAGATGTTCGGTAATTTTGTATTCAATTACATTCTATTTTCCCCACCTGTGTTCATGTTCACTACAATATTTCTTGACTGTGTTCAACTCCACTGATTGTGGTATTCTTTACAACTATTTACCCTGGTACGACTGAGATTGCGGAGAGTCCGCTCTCCCTCTCGAAGTGCTCTCACATGACCACGCGTATATAGCCTCTGCCAAGGAAGTCCTGCTCATTGCATTCTCACACCAGGAGTGTTGCTTACTAAATTGAGAAAACGAAAAGCGAATGTTCGGCGCTTGAACCGGGTTGGTGGATACGAAGGGTCCACCTAGGGGAGTTCGAAAACCCTGATTCCAAATCAGTGGTGCACATGGGCTCCAGTATCCTGAAGGAACAAATGGCGTATGAACCAATCGTTGGTCACCGGCTACCATGGGACTGCATCTCCTTACGTCGTTCCACTACCCAGTGGATCAGATGTTCAGATCGAAGGCTCGAAGTGTGGTTCCCTAAGAAAACCACTCGCTTTGGTTTGGGCGCCCGGGTAATATCACAGCACTCACACATATCAAATGAGGTTTGTGTGGTGCATATGTATTTGGTGTCTCCTTGTACCAATATCTATGTGTTAAAATAAATAAATAACAATTATTTGTCACTAAGGAGTCTATCGTAAAAATACATAAAGTTTGAGAAGATTCTTTACTGAAAAAACTATTGTTTGGACTAGAATTTATGGGAAGTGATCATTGGAATTAGTAACCCACTGCAGCGTTCTCCAAAATTACTTACTATCCTCACTTTTATTCATCTTCACCAAAGAGAACCCTTTTGAGATAACATTTTCTCATTTCGACTTTCTAAAGATTGATCTCCTATCAAGAAGTTAACTTGTTAACGTATAATATCTAGATGATATAATCCTATGCATTGAAATGTGAGAAAATACAGAATCTTCAGACTGTCTCTATCAACAATACAAGAATATTTAGGGTGCATTTCCTTCTCTCTGTATTATCACCTAGATCGATCACAGAGATCGAAATAGTAACATGAGTTGACCACTCTACTTCTCTTTATCTCATTGACACTGATGGGTTGATGGCTAACAAAACATCGACTACAGAGACTGAACGGTATTGTCGAAGCTTGAACGTCGTAATTTCAATCTTTTGAGTGGTTATAGATGAGTACAGCCTGTGAGGAGCTCCCATACCAGGAGGAAACACCTGTCTGATGCTTTCGAGTTTTTTAACGGTCTCTAAATGAAATCAGCCACTGATGTAAAACTTCATATATGTATATATGATTTCATTTAAAACATAGACATTTGAATCCTATAGGAAACTATTCTAAATACTGTTTCTATCTTCTCTATGTTGTTTCCTAGAAATGTCAGTGAATCCAAAAAATCATCAACCAACTTTGTTAAAGAATCACCTAAAGAAGATGGTCGTGAATCTGGAATAGATCCAGATACATTAGACGAAACATCAACATCAATGATTGGAAATTCTTTAAGCTTAAATGATATGAAATATACTACTAATGATCTTAGTCATACTACTGAAGTACACAAACCAAATGTAATTACAATATTAAGACGATTAGCAAGATATTTAGCTTTACGGATAGCCAATAAACGTCATAGTCTAGCTACAGCAAATCAACATGTTGCAAGAAATGCCATTGAAGAAAAACTTGTAAGTAGTCTATTATAATATTTTATTTGCATTTTCTGTTTTCTCGTTCATTAAGTAACCAGGGTAAGGAGTTTGTCATTTTTATAATGAACGGAAGATAACTATTAAAGAATAATGAACAACATAGCATGAATGCATATCCACTCACTTTGATCTATTTCATTTGTCAAATAGTGTAATTCCCAATCAGTGTTAATGATAGTTGAAGAGTCGAACACAATGTACCTTATGAATGACTCTTTTTTCTATCACATCATTCAGAAAACTATGATGAATATAATCCGTAAACAACATGAGGTTATTATTTGAAATATCTTTACAGAAAATTATTCTATTAAATAGTATTTACATATTGATGAATATCTATCTCTTAAAATAAAAAGATTTCTGAAAACCTAAACATAAAGCTCCAATAAGAGAAAGTAACCAATTGTTTACAGTATTTAGATGAACTATTACTATTAATGTGAATTGACTCTCCCCACTGTCGACCGTACAGGGACATTTGAGAGCATATAATCATATGGTATAACGATTTAGTCAACTAAACGTATTTCGAAAGAATTTCAAACAAGCTTTTAGTAGTTCAATACATAGGAATAATCGTTATAATTCAAAGAGAAAGCGGGGTTAATGAAGATTTGCAACTTATTTTGATAGTTCACATTTCAGACTAGATTCATCGTTCCTATGCAAGATTGAAAGCCCAAGGTTCGACCGTTAATGGTGGTGTCGTTGATAAATGAGCTAATATAAGAAATGCTTTGACGATCTTCATATCCGTTAATTATTTTCAATTTCTGGATAGTAGCTAGTAGGGGGGAGATTTAGAATGTGGGTTTTTTCCCTAATCAAAACTCTTCAGTGAGTTGAATGCTAAATTACAGAAAGTCACATATTTTCTTCTTAAAATAAGTGATACCTATCATATGTTAAGAAATACGTAGAATACAGTATATATCACCTTTATGTGAAACATAATTCTTACATTTCACTCCCATGAACTATCCAACATATCAGTCAGTCAGTCAGTCAGCTAAAACGTAGGACCAGGCACATATGTGCATCGGTCCAGGTTGCCATACCGCATCAGCACAACAAGATGGACACCAGATTCATAGAAGTAGTTCATTCAATGGTAGTAGTATATAAAAGAAAGATTGCATATAAGGATATAATACAGGAAGAAAGAATTAGTTCGTAGAAAGAAACGTGTAAAGCAGTTTTAATCTCACAATTCAAGGGAAGACAGAGAGTGTATACACCTACGTCATTGTAATCGATTCTGAGTCATGTCACCCACGGACTTCAATTATTGGTTATGTTAGTCACGCGGACCCAACCAAGTAGTCTGCATCTCCCAACATGGCTCAGACTAGAAGTTAGTGACTTTGTGGACTGATGCCACGTTTTGGTTTGGCCGCCCCTAACTTTCTTCCAACCATCTCCAACAGTAGTTAGCATTGCATGTCGTGGTAATCGGTGTTCAGGCATACGTAACACGTGGCCCAACATATATATACAACATATAATCAAATTCAGTTATATTTTGTAAACAGTTGTAAGTTTTTCGTTGTTAATATTTATGAAAGTGGGATTATTGAATGGATTTCACAATATTACATATACCTACAAGTGTAGATCTTAAATACTAACTAGTAGTAAACTTCTAAATAAGCAATTCATCCTTTTATTTTTTTAGACAAACAAGTTAAGCTCTGACTAAATGCAACTCATGATATTAATAAGGAAAGAATAGGGAAGCGAAACCATACCAGTAATAATAATAAGTATTCTATTCATTAGACAAGTTGATAACTACTGTAACCCAGTATTCTAGTGTATAATGTATTACTATGTATAAAGTCATTATTACTGCTATCCAGTTTCAGTGTAAACATTCATATATTATTATGATATTCTGAAGGTACCTGAACTTTGTCGAACATATTTCACAATCAATCACTAATGATGGCATAAATATTATTATATTAGACATTTTTCAGAAATCCGTTTAGCCATGTCGAAAGTAAAGTACTGAATTACCGGTAATATCAAATCATGATTGGACTAAACCTTGAATCGATTAATGTTGAAAACACTTAGTTAATAAAATGTATCATTATTTAGGCAAAACCTGAGAGTTTGAGGTTTGATTCAGTATGGAATATCATGTGTGTTGTAATACCTGTGAGTTTCAAACAAAAACAAAAGACAACCGTTCCTATACAAGGAAAAACTATCAGTGTAGGGTTGTAGACTTACGTCACCTATGGCAAAGGCAAGATACTCGTCTATCAATTAAAGAACAAATATACTGCGCATTAGTTCGTTCTGTTCTACTTTACGGCTGAGAAACGTGGCCATTAAAGATAGAGGATAATCGTAATTTACTAATATTTGATGCCTGATGTCTTAGAAATATTGCTTGCATCAGCTGGGATCATCGGGTAAGTAATAGTGAGGTTAGACGCAAGGTATTAGGGAATGATGGTAAATCAGTTGATGAGGTTGTGAATCTTCATCGACTGAGATGGATGTGCTACGTATTACGTGTGTCTGAACACTGATTACCACGACATGCAATGCTAACTACTGTTGGAGATGGTTGGAAGAAAGTTAGGGGCGGCCAAACCAAAACGTGGCATCAGTCCACAAAGTCACTAACTTCTAGTCTGAGCCATGTTGGGAGATGCAGACTACTTGGTTGGGTCCGCGTGACTAACATAACCAATAATTGAAGTCCGTGGGTGACATGACTCAGAATCGATTACAATGACGTAGGTGTATACACTCTCTGTCTTCCCTTGAATTGTGAGATTAAAACTGCTTTACACGTTTCTTTCTACGAACTAATTCTTTCTTCCTGTATTATATCCTTATATGCAATCTTTCTTTTATATACTACTACCATTGAATGAACTGCTTTTATGAATCCGGTGTCCGTCTTGTTGTGCAAATGAGATATGGCAACTTGAACAGATGTATATATGTACCTGATCCTATGTTGTAGCTGACTGACTGACTGACTGACTGAATAATTGATTATGATATCAGTATGATTATTGTTTTTGTCATTATTCCAATTGTTTTATATATATACTCAACTTCGATTTACTTCCTTTTTCTCTTTCTGATTTCATTCTAGTTACGTTCTAGATTAAGTGAATTAAATACCGATCATTATTATCATCATGATAATATAATGAATAGTTGGAATTCATTAAATTCAATTGAAATCAATCATGGTACAATTGTGAATCGATTTGATCGATTACATAATAATACAATTGCTGTTATTCAATTATTATGTCAATTAGCAAGACGTTTAGCTATATTAGATGGACAATTATATTATTTAAATAAAAATAAATATAATGATCATGTTGTATTATTATGTAATAACAATAATAATAATACTAATGATAATCCGTCATTATTATCCTATAATCATGTGACATCATTAACCTCTGGTACATCATCAATTCTATCAAATCACTTCTTGAATGATTTCAACAATAATAATAGTAATACCAATCGGAATAGTAACTGTGAATTGGTAAGCTCAATAATAAGAAAAAGTAGTATATATATATATATATATATATATATATATATATATATATATATATATATATATATATATTTAGTTTATTTATTATGCTCATCATTAATTTATTTGATGAACTTGAATTACTTACGTACTTACTTACGCCTGTTACTTCCAATGGGATATAGGTCACCGACAAGCATTCTCCAAAACACTCTGTCTTGGACCTTCTTTTCAAGTTCTATTCAATTTCAATGATTAAGATCATGAGTCAGTTGAAGCTAGAACATCATGGAAAACCTGGAAGCACTGAACGTCTGTTTCGTCCTATTGAGGGACCCCTCAGCAGTGCGCATCCACGACCTCGCCCCATGCGAGATTTGAACCCAGGAACTACTGGTTTTGCACGCGAGCACTTAACCAGTAGACCACTGAGTCGGTATCCAACGGTGTTAATGTTTAACATCAACTAATTCAATTGTTGTTTATTCTTCACATATCTGTCTCCATTTCTCAGCGTAATGTGTTCTTTGGTCTTCCTCTTCCCTTTGGGCATTTAGGATTCCAGGTGAGGGATTGTCGTATGATTTATTTGGATGCTTTCCTCAATGTGTGCATTTATGCACACTTTCAATTTAACTCACTGAATAATTTGCATACATCATTACTTTTGATCAATAATAAGTATGTTAACATCTTACAGTGATTATTGTTAGGATGATTTATTACAGTAGTACGTTTCAAAGCTCAACATAATAATGTGGCTTCAAAAATACAAATTTGTAATTCTTGAACATGAATAACCATTGAGTAGTGGACTATATCAGTCAGTCAGCCACAACGTAGGACCAGGTACACATATGCAGCAATCCGAGTTGCCATACCTCATTAGCACAACAAGATGAACACCAAATTCATAGGAGTAGTTACTTCAACGGTACCTCTAACAGTACTCGATTGGTTTATATAATGTTTATCCAGTCCTTTATTACTGATCAAATGCTATCGATCAAGTTGCAAAGTGGTATGACATAGAGTTTGTCATATTGAGATGTTAGGTTGTTGGAGATAGTTGACAGTAAACCCTGTTTAACTTATTTTTTATGCTGATTAACACTCATTGGCAAGGCTAACCTACAATCTTAAAAGAACTGGTTCTACTTCCTGAGTTCGAATACTCGTTACCTAGCTACACTGTCTAGGACTTTACAACTGAATCATTTGTAGGACTATAAGACTAGTTTATTTACATCCACATGACATTAGTCACCATTCTGAGGCCAGTCAATTGTTAGTCGCTATCTGAATTGCTCAGTTATAACATTTCATACTATGAAGCTACGTTGCTTAGGTTTCAATCCCATTGAGGGCAAAATTGTAAGTGCTTTTTGTTGATGAGTCTAACTTAGTATGAAAAACAATTAAGACAGGGTTTCGTCCCAACTACTAGTAGCCATCTAACCGCAATAAAACAGTAAATAAGTGATAGTTAATGTGAGTTAACAGCCCTTTATATAAATGTATTATTATTATTATTATTATTATTATTATTATTATTATTATTATTTAAACACATAAACATTGATACAAGAAGGCACCAAGTAGATATACGCCACATAAATCATCCGATTTGTGTGTGGGCTGTGATACTGCCCAGATGCCCAGACAGATGCAGGTGGTTTTCTTAGGGGACCACACCCCGAGCCTTTGACCTAAAAGTTTGACCCACAAGGCAGTGGAGCATCGTGAGGAGATGCAGTCCCATGGTAGCCGGTGACCAACATTTGGTTCATGTGCCATTTGTTCCCACAGAATACTGGAGCCCATGTGCACCATTGGTTTGGAATCCGGTTAAAGCGCCAAACATTCACTTTTCGTCCTCTCATTTTCGTAAACAACACCCCCGCCAGGAGAAGGCAATGAATAGGACTTCCCTGGTAAAGGCTGTATACGTGTGGCCGTGTGAGAGCATTTCGAGAGGGAGGGCGGACCCACCCCACTTTCGGCCATACCAGGGCATTTGGGTGCAATTATGTCATATCAGTTAATTAATCTGTTTTTTTAACTACTGAATTAGTAAGTGCTCGTGATCACAGTTACTAATGCTGAAATATCATGTTAACAACATTGATAGGGTAAATTATTGAAATATCTCAAGTAAGGGTATATGTAAATAGTTAGCATTTAATTAAATGCTTTGTATATAATGATATAACACAAAAACGCAATCTAAATTAAGACAATCATAAATAATGAATTATTTCAAAGAAGAAATAAACACGAAATTTATTTTATTGTTACTGAACAATCAATCACTTGGTATTGTTTATTTGAATCTTCTCATTAATGTTTAGGACTGTAATTGATCAGTCTCTTATTATTGGCATATGTGCGTACTTTGCGTATTGCCTCGATATATTGCCTTAATTCACAAACATTATAAACAAAGATGGATGGTGGCTAGCAGTAGAATCCAGGACATGGAATTCGTACTATTTGGGACTCGTCAATTGGATGTACCTGCATCTTAGATTTGATGTTCACTCCGGGACTCGAACCTATTATTGTTCGCTTGAAACACCATCGCGTTATCTATTTAGCTACTGAGTCCTGAATTGAACATCTAAGATGTAACTATGGGATTAATACTTAATAAATAAATGCAACTTTTTAAACAAACTTACTTAATCTATATAAAATTTAAGCAAAACAAAAGCGCTTTAAACACCATACTGAATTATATTTCTTTGTGTTATGTCCCAATGAGAATAATGAATGGTAACTTTTTGGATCCATTTATAGACCAATACTACACGTATATTTTTATTGTATAATTGTTATATAACTAAACGATTCATATTCATATCTCTCTTATTATAAGCTTCATTTTAACCTGTGAACTATTATTATACCATTTACCATTCTTCAGTTATTCCCGGTCTATCAATTACTATCTCCCACATTCACAGCCACATTTGGCTAATTCTTGTACAAATGTTATTTTCTATTTTATGGTACGATATGGTCTGTTCGATTGGTATATAAACCCAGTATGTTTGGAATAAATGATTGAGATTGATGTTCTGGAATTAACAGACTGGGCTAGGCAGGAAGCAGGACCAATAAGTATTCTTGACTGGTCGTACGGGTTTTACATGTCATTGATCCGATCAATAATTCAATACTCTCTAACTGGTGGCATCGTTACGTTATAAATTAACAGGGCACACGGACCACAAGTCATAACGCTTTCCAAAAGAAAGAAATATGCTTTTGCCAAAATATATGCAATGAATTTCTTTTAGGGAAAGTGTAGAAATGTTTCACATATTTATATGAATCCCTTCAATGTATACACATTGCTTGATTCTAATTTCTTAATATTCAATGTTTGACAGTGATAAATCATATTGAAATTAAAATGAACAATACTATGTTCAAGTCTCAGAGTGAACAACAACTCTAAGATACATCCAAATGACGAATCACAAATAGGACAAAATACGCTTTCTGAATTCCATTACTAACCATTATCCATTTTCAGACTTGAAGCAATATCGATGCAGTTCATACAGGATCCATATATTACCAATAATAAGAGACTGATCAATTACAAATCTAAACATCAATAATGAAGATTCAATAAATCAATATAAAAATCAATTTTATTATGACTTCTTTTTTTTATTATTTTTTTGCTCTTCTATTTAGTCACAAATTATTGAACAACAAAAACGTTTAATTATACAAATTAAAGAAGCTCAATTATTACGAGCTGAATTAGAAACATGTCGACATCGTTTATTAGAAAGTATACCGGGTCATATAAAATGTGATTTAACACATAATATGATTGATAAATTAGGAAGAGATTTCACTAATGATAATAATAATAATAAGTCTACAACAAATACTACTAATCAAAATATTAGTAATCATAATACAACAGAATGTAAATTAACATCATATACAAATAGTGAATTGAATCAACAAAATCAAACAGATCAGAATACTACTACTACTAATGATAATAGTAGTAATAATAATGAAAAATCAATATCCAATAAAATGAATGAACAAGAAGATCAATTAAATTGTCAACAATCGATTATGAATACAACACAATTACTTAGACAACGTGTTACTGAACATTTAATTGAATTTTTAAATTGGTTTGTATTATCACAAGTAAGTTATGTAATAAGAGTTGTGTTTTTATTAAATAATTTATATATACATATGATGCAGTTGAGATAAATAAAATTGTTCAACTAGGTCTGTTGTGAGATATCAACCCACTGAAGACAATGGTATACTGTGGTGCAACTCCCTTGATTGGTTGAAGTTAGACATGAACACCATTGGATGCCGGCTCAGTGGTCTATTTAGTTAAGCGCCTGGCGTGAGACCGATAGGTCTTGAGTTCTAGTCTCGCAGGGGGCGGGATCGTGGAGGCGCACTGCTGAGGAATCCCATACTAGGACGAAAAGGCCGTCCAGTGCTCCCATGTTTTCCATGGTGGCCTAGCTTCAGTTGACTCATGATTTCAATCTGTGCAATTTCTAAAATCTCCACAAACGCCTTCTGATAATAAATAAAACCGTGTATAGATTTTTCTTTTAATTTACCATTTTAAAAAAAACTGGGAGAGCGACAGGTATCTACCACAGTACAATGGAAGATGATCATGCGATTTCACAGATTAATTGAAGTTAGATATTAATACCGTTGAATGTCAGCCGGTTCAGTGGTCTAGAGGTTAAGTGTTGGCGTGCAAGACCGAAAACCTGTGAGAGAGATCGTGAATGAGCACTGCTGAGGAGTTCTACAATAGGATGAAATGGTTGTCTAAGGCTTCTAGGTTTTCATTGGTTGTCTAGCTTCGATTGACTCATGATCTCAATGAGAAACTGTGTATAAATGTTTCCTTTAATTTGTAACTTAAAAAAGAGTGATCGTTAGGTTTGTATTTAAGAAATGACGAGTTGTAGAGGTTGTAGTACTGTAACAGTTGAATTGATGAGTCAATCGAAGCTAGATCATAATTGAAAATCTGGAACCACTGGACGATCGTTTCGTCGTATTATGGGACTTCTCATCAATACGCATTCGTGATCCCACAGAAAAGAGACTCGAACTAAGTACCCTCGGTCTTGCGAGCGAACGCTTAACATCTAGATCACAGAGTCGGTATCCATCGGTAGTAGTCTCTAACTTCAATCAATCCATGATCTTGTGCAATCATTCATCCATTGTCTAAGGTAAATAACTATTTCACATTCAACATGAGTTGAACTCCACTGGTAATGGCTTCTCGTTAGATCTGCAGGAGTGACATCTTGAAACTAGTCACTATTGAGTGCATGATTATTATCAGAATAGAGATTTGTGGAGATTATACTAAGTTTAACAATTGACCGGTGAAACCTAATCCATGTTAGGTGTCAGAGAGTGATCCACCTCCGACAATGGATGAAGAGTTGCGCAAGATTATGGATTGATTGAAGTTAGAGGTTAACACTGATTGATTTCAACTCAGTGGTCTAGATATTAAGCGTTCGCACTCGAGACCGAGGATCCTGTATCGCAGTCTCTTTGGTGCGGAATCGTGGATGTGCATTAATGAAGTGTCCCATACTAGAAGGAAAAGGTCTTAAAACAGTGCTTCCAAATATTCATTTGTGGTCTAGCTTAGATTGACTCATTAATTCAATTAATAATATTTATATATGTTAGTTAAGAATTAAACTGAAACGTACTGAAATTTACATAAAGCTATCAACTATTAATGGTAGATATAATTTAATCAGTATTTCATGTTTTAAGGATTCATTCAAACTGTCAGTTTCATTTAAGAATTACAATTATAGCTGATATCATGTCAAAAATAGTGGAATAAATTCAACAATGATCTGAATGTTTTAAAAGATTTATAAAATATTGTGAAAACTAATAATGATGGACAGTGGCTCAAGTTAGACATCAACACCGTTGAATGCCGTCCGGATTAATGGTCTAGGAGTTAAGCGAGGTAGGATCTTAAGTATGCACTGCTGAGGAATCCCGTAATAAGACGAAACGACCATCCAATGCTTCTAACTTTTCCATGGTAATCTAGCTCTAATTGACTCATGAATTCAATTATAAAATTACTATAAATCTCCACAAAACCCCCCTTCTAGAGATAATAATGTGCTGAAAGGTTTATTTATGTAAAATTTATTGAACAATCAATTCACATCGGTTAATTTATTATGTTGTATCAGAAATCGATTAAGTATGTAATTATACCTGGGGATATCGACTCACAAATTCTAATGGGTAATTATTCTTCATCAAACTTGAGGTTCTTGGATTTGAATCTTAAGTTAGTCATACTTTTGCATTGTTAAAGACTCGAATATTGGGATAAAGAATATTTTTAGTGAGCTTTGATTTCCACTAGTATCCTAATTCAAGTCAATCTATAAAGAATACAATATTGAAATAGTTATATTTCACAAATGTACTTTTTTCTTATAAGAAATACTTTAAATTCACCGGATGTTGCACCATTAGTGAAGTATACTTCAGATTAAATAATATATAATGTTAAAAAACACAGCAAATTTTCACTTTATTGTGCTACTACTACTACTACTACTACCTGCCACTACTACGATTACTATTACTACTATTACTACTACTACCACTACTAATACTAAAACTAATACTAGTACTAATACCATTAAAACAAATAAATCAATGAAAGTAAAGTAATATATTGTTAATATATAAATGTATATCATACTAACTGATACATTGTTAACACAAAGTCAACAACTATCAAGGTTAAGATGATTGACATGAAAATTTTTTTTGAAAAAACGCTAAAAATGTTACTATGATGGTAAATAGACAATAAATTGAATAGCTCTTAACTAGCGGAACTAATGTCTTAGTTACAGCGATACAACATGATAATATGAATCTATCATAAAATGGAATCATAATTTATAATTCTAATTCAAATCATGTTGAAGCATCCCATTTTCTCTTACTTACTTACTTACTTACTTACTTACTTACTTACTTACTTACTTACTCACCCACTTACTTACTTACTTACTTACTTACTTACTTACTTACTTACTTACTTACTTACTTACTTACTTACTTACTTACTTACTTACTTACTTACTTACTTACTTACTTACTTACTTACTTACTTACTTACTTACTTACTTACTTACTTACTTACTTACTTACTTACTTACTTACGCGTGTTTCTTCCAATGGAGCATAGGCCGCCAACCAGCATTCTCCAACACACTCTGTCTTGGGCCTCCCTTTATTGTTCTGTTCAATTGTTGTTCATTCTTCATATATCTGTCTCCATTTCTCGGTGTAATGTGTTCTTTAATCTTCCACGTTTCCTTTGGCCTTGAGGATTCTAGGTGAGGGATTGCCTTGTGATGTGGTTGGGTGCTTACATCAATATGTGTCCTATTCACTTCCATAGCTTCTTCTTGACTTCTTCCTTTGCCAGAATATGGCTTGTTCCCTCCCATAGTAGGTAGTTGCTGATAATGTCTGGCCAACAGATCCGAAGTATTTTATGTAGACAACTGTTAATATACATCTGTATCCTGTGGTTGATGACTTATGTAGTTCTTCAACTTTCCGCCCCATACAGTAGAACTGTTTTTCTAATCACGATTAAATACTATTGAAAATTAATTGTAAATCAGTGCAAAACATACACTAAATCATAATGAGGAATTTTTGGTTTAATTTAACTGTTACTCTCAATATACTAAATAAATAAAACAAAAGAAAATTCTTAGTATATATGATATTTGGTTAGTGCTAGAATTCAAGAGGCATATTTCTTTCTCTTTAATACTCGATTGAACGGATTTAAATCCGTGTTGATGTCCACATTGAGACTTAAACTCGATACTTATTGTCTAACAAATGATACTAATATTGATTGATCTACTGAGTTTACATAATAACTAGATTGTTCAACAGGTATTGTATTATTGATATTTAGAAGTTGAAGAATTTTAGTCTTGACCGTCAACAACAATAAATTAAAAATACCTAACAAAAATAAATTCTGTCGTCAGTCAGTCAGCTACAATGTAAGACAAATCACATGTATGCATCAGTCCAAGTTGTCACACCTAATTAGCACAGCAAGATGAACACCAAATTCATAGAATTAGTTACTTCAATGGTAGTAATATACAGAAGTAAGATTGTGCATAAGGATATAATACAGGAAGAAAGAATTAGTTTGTAGAAAGACAGATATGAAGTGATTTTAATCTCTTAGTTTAGGGGAAGACAGAGAGTGTATACACCTACGCCATTGTGATCGATTCTCAACCATGTCACACACAGTCTCCAATCATTGGTTTTGAAAGTCACGCGGACGCCAAACAAGTAGTCTGCATCTCCTAACATGGCTCGAACTAGAAGTTAGTGAGTTCAAGCACTGATGCCACGTTTTGGTTTGGTCACCCCTAACTTTCTTCCAACCATCTCCAACACCGGTTAGCATTGTATGTCGTGGTAATCGGTGTTCAGACATACGAAGTACGCAGCACAACCCTCTCAGTCGATGAAGATTTACAACTTCATCAACTGATGAATTAATTTTAAAGAATATACAATTTATTAAAAGTTAAAGTGAAGAATATGTATGAACTTTCTGACTAAAGAATTTGATAAAATACAAGAACTGTATACTTAAATGAACCAATTTTAATGATCCAATTAAACCTATATAATCAATAAATATCTTCGTACACTGATAAATATTTAGTTGAGATCTATAGAGTTAGTATGAAATCAGACATTGTGGCGTTGTAAAGAAGTACCCAGATGGGATAAGCCTAAAATTCCTAGAAATCTTACATATATGAATATTCAAATTCTATTTATTCTATCAAAAAAATATTTTGTTCTAACTTTTAACCTACCCCTTTCATGTTACCGCTAACTGTATTTATAAATTCACATGTACCTGCTAAAGCAGTTACATCGGCCGAACAGAAAGGAGGCCATATCTTAGATTTTTTAAACATGTTTCAAAAGGTCTTAGAACAAGAGAAAGAAAGACTTTAAACAGTGCAATCACCAAACATCTCCTTGATACAGGATATCAGGTAGATACCTTACAATCCTTCAAGGTGATTAATAAGCAGCCAAACTCCAGTTTTCTGAAGGCGTTGTCATCAGGCGTTAAAAACTTGATCTATATGCTCAAAAGGAGACGGTTATTAATCTTTCCTTGCCTTGGTGACAAATATACCTTCGTTGCATCTTAAATTTCTTTTTTCTTTTTCTTTAAACTCTTCCTCACACTTATTACATCATTGTGTTTTATTTCAACTATTTTCCAGATTATTAATCTTGTTTTATCAACTGAGCTCTACTCACTATATTCCTATCAATATTTACTCATTATGTAATCATTGATTTCTGGCTATTTGAACTGTTGTCATAACCAATATGGTAGAATATTCTTTCACATAAAGTACAATATTCAATCTATTAATTTTATTTACACCCTTACTATACTTTACTAAAGTGTCTTTAATATAACTTCTAACCAAACCTTTTCATTTAAATAATTTAAACCTATTATGTAATGATGAGCGTTTAAATATCACCGGTTGTAAGCAACTGATGAGAATCAAACGAAATAGAAATGAATTCTAGCTATTCGATTAGAATCATTGTTCTTGCTCTTTTCAAAATGATAAAGGGAATTATGTGTATGAAACAATATTGATTATATTGAATTCATGTTTTACATATCTTTTAATCTGTCTAAGTTGATCTATTTAATAATGTAAATGTCTTAACAAGTAAATGTATAATCAGTTTATGTGATAATGAGGCGTACTGTGTCAATATCTATTACATATGCCTGATAAACTTTATTTTCTTATTCCATTACTTCAATTTATCTAAGAGACATAGTGTTTTAATAAAAGATTAACGTATATAATAGAAGAGAGGGTTTTCTAGGTAGTATAGTAATTTCAATAGTTGGAATGATGAGTCAATTGAAGTTAGACTGATAGGTCCTGAATTCGAATCTCGTGCGTACTGCTAAGAAGTCTCACAATTGGACAAAACGGTCATCCAGTGCTTTCAGGTCTTCTATGATTGTCTAACTTCAATTAACTCATGATCTCAACTATTGAAATTATATAATACAAATTGTATGAGTTTGTATACTTGCTATGAAAAGTATGAATAGCTTCCTATAACGTGTACACTATAATATATTCTTTTATATTTTAATGATTTTATTAAAGTTCATTCCAAATACAAACTAGAATTATCCTTATCATTAATAAGCGTTTAAATCCATCCCATTGTACATATTCAGTAATGAATATGAATTACTTTGAAATACAGATATATCCAAATGAGGTTGGAATGTAATTCCTAGATTTCACTGTATGCTACAATTTATGTATTATGAAAATCGATATTGACTTTTGTTTTTCTTATCATTATCAATATTATTTGCAAAGATTTCACCTGATATCAGTTATCAAAGCCACTTATTAAATCTCCTCAATCTCAGTTGTATATGTTAAAGGGTTTAGTTAAGATTTTCATATAATTTGACGGTAGTGATTACAATCAGCTCGAAAAGTATAATAAAAATAACGAAGTACCGGAATGACATTTTTCTTGTATTTCACTGATAAGGTTATTCCTCAACAATGTTGTTTATTTATTTGAACACATAAATATTGTTATAAAGGGGCACCAAATACATATGCCCCACACAAGTCACTTGATTTGTGTGTGCGTGTGTGGGCTTTGGTATTGCCCGGGTGGCCAGGCTAAAATAGGTGATTTTCATAGTAAGCCACACCCCAAGCCTTCGACCTAAAGGTCTGATCCACAAAGCAGCGGAGTAACGTTGAGTGATGCAGTCCTATGGTAGTCGATGACCCACAATAGGTTGCTCAGGATCATGAAGTTCGTGCGTACAATTGGCTTTGAATCAGGGTTTTCCAACTCACTTAGGTGAACCCTTCGTATCTAACAACACGGTTAAAGCACCGGACATTAGATTTTCGTTCTCCCAATTTCGTAAACAACATCTCCACCTCCAGAATGAAGTGGCTGTATAGGCATAACCATATGAGAACACTTCAAGCGACAGAGTGAACTCCCCCAACCCTTGATTGTCTCAGGGCATTTGGCAACTGACTCCATCTCAATTCGATTAGTTTTATATCTAATTGTAATAACAGTTCAATACACGTTAACTTATTTATTTCTCTTTCAAAAATTTCTCTCTTTTTAGATATTTGAAACAGAAATCAAAGTAGATCAAGATTTATGGGAAAGTATTCAAGATGAATTAAGATTTGAATTATCCTATTAAATCTATTCAATTAATCTTTATTTAATACTTACACATTATTTGTGAAGTATTTTTGTTGTTGCTGCTGTTGTTGTTGTTTTAATTTATTAATAAATATGTACAAAAAAAAAGAGAAAAAGAAAAGAAAAACACAAAGAGAATCTTTCAAAGTAAAAAAAAATAGAAATAGGGATTCAAAAAAACAAAACAACCACCGCCACCACCACCACCACCACCACAACAACAACAACGGCACTCATGGTGATACATAAAAAATCGATTATTTTTTTGTTTTGTTTTTTTCTTGATAAATGATATTCAATATTCTTATTTAAAAGATGACATAATAATTTTATTGTTGTATTTAAATTCTTTTTTTCAAATCAATTTTCCCGCCTCTTTTTTTTGAAATTTTTATTTGTTTTTTTTTGTATTTTATGTAATGTGATTGTGACTTGTTTTTGTTTCCAACCATGATATTAACATCATTGATAATTGTTAACAATATAAATGTGTATATTCATTATATAGATATATATGGGGGGATTGTTTTGTCGTCATAATGAACTCCCTTCCACTGATACAAGCATATTTGTCTATATAGACATACTTACTTAGTTACTTACTTACACACACATATATATACATACATACATAAATACACATGTACACCTAATATATCATTCATTATATTTAGATATTATCAAATATATATATATATACTCATTCTGTGAACTAATACTTTCCTTTTTACTGTATCTTTGATAATGTTGTGTTTGTTTGTTTTTGGATTAAAATAATGTTGGAACTGGGTTTTCATCATAAGATGTCGTAAGTCTTCTAAAATGAAGATCATCTAACTTCTACGACAGAGTTTAAATTATTTTTTTGGTTAGTGTCTTTATACCTAGCCCGTCTGTGCTTGTGATTGGTAGTAACATCAAAGGAGCTCCAGACGGAGTTAAAAGCAAGCTGATTTGTATGATAATTCTGATTGAATGTATAGTCATTATATATATAAGGTTGATATTAATTAGATAAATGAGTTGATAGATTTCATCATGAACTGAACTCAAATAGAGGAATAATTCCATAACTGTCTTGATCCTAGAATGAGATTTTTTAATAAATTATTTCGGGAAATAGAAGCGGATATGAAAAGGATGAATATCAACTGGTAACAGCTGGAAAGGACTGCCCAGAACAGGGTTGGATAGAGAGTGCTGGTAGGCGGCCAATGCTCCTCCAAGAGGAGTAACAGGTGTAAGTAAGTAAGTACCAATATGTGGTTCTTCCACGGATTGAACCTAAATGTTTCATAACTTGTGATGAGAGTTTTTTTTTATTCACCTTTATATTAGTCTACAAAATATACCAGGAAAGAATAAAAACACACTGTGAAAGTAAATTTTCATCATAAACTGACAAAAGTTAGAGCCCTGTGTTCAAGATCATGGATGCGCATTGTTGAGAAGTTCCATACTAAGATAAGACAACCATCCAATGCTTTCAGCTTATTAATGGTGGTTTAACTTAGATCGACTCATGAATTCAGTCGTTAAAAAAAAAGAGAAAAACTTTTGAATCAGAAAGAAATGAGCAAATTACATTCAAATTTAAAGTTTTCATGAAAATACAAGTTTATACATACAAACATAAAGTTTGTTAGTAAGTTTGATACATTCACGCCATAAAATTGAAATCTTATGATATACAAGCAAAGATGGATAGTGGCTAGCAGTGGAATCCAGGATGCGCATTTCGTTCTATGGGATGATACAAGCAAAACAATATCAAGTGAATTTAAATTCACCCGATTGCAAAAGCAAGTGGCTATCGGGAATCAGTAGCTGACTGGATAACACGATGGCGTTTGAATTGAACGGTACTGGGTTCGGGTCCCGGAGTGAACATCAACTCTGAGATGCAGGTAAATCCATCTGACGAGTCCCCAAATAGAACGAAACAGGTGTCCTGGATTTTACTGCTAGCCACTATCCATCATTGCTTACAAATAGCTTGTGAATTAAGGTAATATCGAGGCATACGCACAGTATGCACATATGCCAATAACAGACTGATCAATTGCAGTCTTAAACCTCAATGGGAAGATACAAGCCAAACGACACCAAGTGAATCTTATGATTTACATTTATTCAACTACTGTCAATTTAATAGTAGTATCAATGAAGTTGTACAAACAATAAGTAATCAAGTTCATTATCAATGAAGATTTCTTATTGAACGGTTAAACAGTCCCCTGCTTTTTTTTATAAAAAAAACTAACTTGCTAGCAAGTTCAAACGTTTTGTTAAAACGAACAAAATGAACTATAAAATATCATACAGACTTGTAATAGTTGATGGATCCGTTGAGAGAATTATAAACTTATACATATTGTGATATTGGTAAGTCCAGTGCTTCCAGGTTTTTCATGATGGTCTAGCTTCAATTGACTCTTGATCTTAACTATTGAAATTACTATAATATCCACAAAACCCCTTCTGATACTAATCAGTATATTTCCTAGAGTTCTAGTGAGAAGCGGTGACCAGTGGTGATCAACCGGGTCTGTTGTGAGATAGTAACTCACTGATAGCAATCGTGAACGGTAACACAATTTCGTGGTTTGGTTGAAGTGAGAGGTTAACACTGTTGGATATCGGCCAGTTCAGTGGTCTAGAGGTTTAGAGTTCACGTTCGAGCACAATAGATCCTAGGTTCAAATCTCGCGATGCAAGAGCGTGGATGCACACCAGTGAGGAGTCCCACAATAGGAGGAAACGGCCGTCCAGTGCTTCTAGGTTTCTCATGGTGGTCTAGCTTCAAATGATTCATTAATTCAACCATTCAAATTACTATAATATACACAAAAATCCCTTCTGATATGTAAAACATTAACAACAGTTTGGTGAATCAAAAATCGTATATTCAAACGAAGAATAAATGGATGATAACTGCGGGGAATTATTTCTGCATTATTATTATATATATTCTTATTGGATAATTATTAATTAACTAGATTATATATGTATATTCATATTCCTTAGATCATTAGCTTTCATTTGACCTATTGGCTACGGTTATACGATTTACCATCCTTAATTTATACCCAATTTATTTGCTACGGTCTCTCACACTCTATGATGTCCCGATATGCATAATGAATGGTAACTTTTGGGATCTATTGATGGATCAATACTATACGTATATTTTTATCGTATAATTGTCATGTAACTAAATTGTTCATATCCGTGTCCCACTGATTATGAGCTTTATTTTGACCTATGAACTATTATTATACGATTTATCGTTCTTGAGTCATGCCCTGTCTATTAATTACTATCTCGCTCATTCACAGCCACATCTGGCTAATTCTTGTACACATGTTGTTTCATATTTTATTGGTACGTTGTGGTCTGTTTGATCTGTATATAAACCGAGTATGTTTGAAATAAATGATTCATATTGCAGAGGCTGAGATTGGTGTTCTGGACTGTAACAGGTATGGCTAGTCATGAAGTAGGACCGATGAACACTCTAGACTGCTCGTACGTATTTTGCGCGTCATTAGTCTGGTCGATAAATCACTGTTCTCTAATTGACGGTATCGTTACGTTATACATTAACTCGGCACACAGGCTACAAGTTATAACACACTCATACCCACTTTGGCTTGATCTTGTGTAATAATTAATTTTTTTCATTTTATGATGTAATGCCGTCTGATTTTCCTGTAGATAAACTACGTACGTATGAAATATACGATCCATACAGTGGAAATAATTATTTGTGTTCTGGACTGAACGGGCTGGGTTAGGTGATAAATTGCTATACAGAGAACCAGTAAGGACCCAGAGTTGGTGTAAGTTTGGTAGTGTTGGCTAACGCATCATTCATTTAGCACAAGGATATGGCCACATAAGACTGCGTCTTGATTGGTGATCTTATCACCTAATATCTGACAGAGTCATAAGACATAACAAGAAACGAACATCATAATAGTGGTAAAAACGTTTCCCACCGTAAAGTTCAACCTATTTTAGAGCTCTTTTCCTTACTTACTTACTTACGCCTGTTACTCCTAATGGAGCATAGGCCGCTGACCAGCATTCTACAACCCACTCTGTCCTGGGCCTTCTTTTCTAGTTCCATCCAATTCTTGTTCATTTTTCTCATGTCTATTTCCATTTCTCGGCGTAATGTGTTCTCTGGTTTTCCTCTTTTCCTTTGACCTTCAAGATTCCATGTGAGGGCTTGTCTTGTGACGCAGTTGGGTGCTTTCCTCAATGTGTGTCCTATCCACTTCCAGCGCTTCTTCCTGATTTCTTCCTCCACTGGGATCTGGTTCGTTCTCTCCCACAGTAGGTTGTTGCTAATAGTGTCTGGTCAACGGATCAGAAGTATTTTGCGTAGACAACTGTTAATAAACACTTGTATCTTCTGGATGATGGCTTTCGTAATTCTCCAAGTTTCCATCCCATACAGTAGAATTGTCTTGACATTTGTATTGAAAATCCCGACCTTGGTCTTGGTTGCCAATTGTTTTGAGTTTCAAATGTCCTTCAGTTGCAAATATGCTGCTCTTGCTTTGCTGATCCGCACTTTCACATCTGCATCAGATCCATCGTGTTCATCAATGATGCTGCCCAAATATGTAAAGGTTTTAACATTTTCCAAATCGTCTCCGTCAACTTTCATTGGATTGGTGCATGCTGTGTTGTGTCGGAGAATCTTGCTTTTCCCTTTGTATATATTGAGACCTACTGCTGCTGAGGTTGCTGCTACACTGTTCGTCTTCTCCTGCAATTGTTGTTGCGTTTGGCATAGAAGGGCCAGATCATCTGCGAAGTCTAGATCGTCCAACTGCATCCTAGATATCCATTGTATCGCGTGTTTTCTTTCAGATGTTGATGTCTTCATGATCCAGAGCTCTTTTCCTTGCTTTATGAAAATAAAAGATATCCAACATATGAAACGATCTACTAACAGTTTTAGATTTATCATACACCGTTAATGTTCTATCCTAGAGAAGATTAAATCATGAGTAACTTCCGAGACATATTCATTGACTAATATTATCTATACATTCTTATGGTATAACTATTCAATAATTAGATTATGTATATCTATATTCCCTTTGTTATAAGCTTTGTTTTTACATATAGATTATTATTGTACGATTTACTGTTTTTCAATTATGTTCAGTTTATTGACTACTGTCTCCCACGTTCACAGTCACTTTTTGGCTTTAGTGTGTACAAATGTTATTTCCTATTTTATGGTGCGTTGCAGTCTGTTTGATTGATATATAAACCCATTATATCTAAAATAAATGATTCGATTCGATTCGCTTGGTGGAAGCTGGTATCGGTGTTCTGGACTCAAGTGGACGTGCTAGGCGGACATAGAACAAATAATGGTGCTGGGCTGCCCACACCGGTCGAACGTCATTGGTTTGGCACAGTGCTAAGATTGTATAAGTCGTATTTTGATCGGTGGGTAAATCACGTGATAAAAAGCCGGACATCAAGTCACAATAGTTAAGGTAACAGCTACAAAATTTTGGACCTTTACTCACTAGCCATGGAAATCTAAAATGCACTTCCAATAGCTCCATAAAAATCATACAAAAAGAAAAAAAACTGTTTAACAGTACTTAACTACAGTCAATTTGATCAAGTGATTTGATAGGGTACTAAACATTTTGAGTACTACACAAATCCCGTCCCCCACATTGAAATACCTAAAAACTAGTCAGTATAAAAGTATAGGCTCATTGTAATAAAATGATACTGATGTACAACAACAAAAATAATTTTTGAAGTAAAGTCTGTTGGAAATCGAGTATAGGATTTTGTAATCCAAGTTTCGTAAGTCACTTATCAATCAATGAAACTTTGAGGTTCCACTTTAAAGAAAAAATATTCGAATATCAGTATAGAGTCATGGAGATTGTTGAGTTTTCACTGAGATCACGAACTGGTGTAAGTTGGACGTTAATACAGTTAAATCCCGCATC